GTTTATTTACAATCAATGTAATTTTCTCAAAAAAATACCAAGTAAAGTATATTGATAAATATTACTATTTTAATCTTCAATGTTTTCTGAACAAAAAAGCTTTAGGTGTAATTTTTGTCAGTTGTGAAATAGAGTGGTGGGGGAAGGTTAAACGTTAATTTGGAAAAATGCTTTACCGAATTTAGTGGCATTTAGGGCGTTAAGATAAAAACTGACAAAGTTTACGACATTTTTCTAAAAATTTAAATAAAACGATATATACCTTTTTACATAGATAGAAAAAAAAAGCACAATACTTTGGCGAAAACTGCATTTGGATATCTCTTTTCAAACCGCAGATTTTAGCAAAAATATAAATAAAACGTAGAAACGTAACACATTTAATGACCCAGCATTACTACTAGGTCCATTTTTTAAGGTATAAATCAAATTTATAAATTTCTGCAAAACCTAATACCCAACCATGATTTTTAGATATTTTAAATAATCGAACGATAGGTATTAGATAAGAATGCATAATTACTTATAAGTATAATAATCCATTGAGCGTGTAAGTATATTTGCATTCAAGTAAGTCTGGAAAAACACAAACAAAAGACCTAATACTCAATGTTCTGACGTGAAATATGTTGATTTTTTGACATTGCAAGATTTTTTTTGTTTTCAAAGCTTACTTGATATGCAAATATACCTACACGCTCAATGGATTATTATACTTGTAATTATGCATTCTTATCTAATATCGTTCGATTATTTAAAATATGTAAAAATCATGGTTGGGCATTAGGTTTTGCAGAAATTTATAAATTTGATTTATACTTTAAAAAATGGACCTAGTAGAGTCATTAAATGTGTTACGTTTCTACGTTTTATTTATATTTTTGCTAAAATCTGCAGTTTGAAAAGAGATATCCAAATGCGGTTTTCGCCAAAGTATTGGGCTTTTTTTCTCTAACTATGTAAAAAGGTATATATATCGTTGTATTTAAATTTTTCGAAAAATTTCGTAAAATTTATCAGTTTTTAACTTAACGCCCTCTAGCAGCGTTCATAAAACGTAAGCAGCCACAGTTTATAAAGCTAAAAATGAGGCTGAAAAAGCTCTTTTAAACTAAACCAAGTTTACTAAATTCGGTAAAGCCAAACCGGAGTTATGAGCATTTTTCCAAATTAAAGTTTAACCCCCCACCACTATATTTAACAACTGACAAAAATTACATCTAAGGCTTTTTTATTCAGAAAACATTGAAGATTAAAATAGTAAATATTTATCAATATACTTTACTTGGTATTTTTTTGAGAAAATTACAGTATTATGTTTTGACGTCACAATTACGCCCCCTAGCGGCCACCCTACAAACTTGAAAATAATTTGCAGCAATTTCTCTTGACCGTTTTTATTAAAAATATTTTTCCATAAAGCTGTACTATTATTAGTTTCTGAAATATAGCTACCTCTCTTAATGGAACACCCGGTACACATCGTTTGTCCTTAATTATTATTAAGTTAATATATTTTTTAAATGACAAAATTTGCACATTTATTAAAAAATAACAGGAGAAAAATTAAATGCATTGTAAAACTTGCTACGCCAACCTTACAAAAGAAATGTTAAAAGCAGAAAAAGTAAGAATATAGCGGTGGATAACCGATGATAACCTGTACTGGGCCACGAATGCCATGTTAAAATCATAATTCTTAAGTTACCTACCTATTTATTAATATAAGATTCATAATTTCCAATTAATTTATTTTAACTTGTCAAGGGCCGTAAAACTTTTAATGACTTGTAAAATCTAGCGCCACGATTCTAATAAGCATATACAATTCTATATAAAGTAAAACAAAAAAGCCTGACGCGGCCTTGCATAATACTGGTGCTGTTGGTCATAAATGAATGACAGCCGGCAGTGAGAGTGTTGATATCGTGACAGATAAGAGAAGAGCAACGTTATCGTGGTCGACCGTCTGTACTGATTAACGGAGTACTGAAGGGTATATTGACTCGAGGCACCTTGGATGTTGAGAAATTAAGTCTGCGAAATAGGTCTGTATGATCACTGGCCTTGCTTTGCTTACGTAATTTCAGAAATACCCAAACGGTATTCCGTACAAAGTTGGAAAATTAATTTCCTTGGGCTACGAAACTAACTTCGGCTTTAAGAAATCCGATCATTGAAACCAGCCTGTGCGATCACAGGCCTGGCCTCTCTCACAAAACTTCAGAAATCCCAAAACGGTATTTTTACTTCTTTCACAGCATTTACCAATTTTCGTCAATTTATTGTATCATATGCGCTTTTAAAATCAATTAACATAATATGGATCGGTATTTTGTATTCGTAGCAACATGTGAGTACCTGTTTTAAAATAAAGATTTGGCAGCTGTGGTTTGACAAGTCGTTGGAATGCCCAATTTAAAGTTAAGAAAATGGTGAGGGGTAAAGCTGTGTCTAACGATTTACGTTAAGTTATTGTCAATTTATACAATGCTGGTGCTGAAATTGCTAAACAACTGCAATTATCGACAGGAACAGTTCAAGAAAAACCAAATTTGGGTAGAACTTCAAAAATAACCCTGATCAATATGAGAGCACTACGTCGTATTTTGAAACAAAATCGTCGGGCCAATTGTGGTGAATTAAGTGTAGCGTGGAATAGAGCAATGGGAAATATTTTTTTAAGGTCGACCTGTCTTAGAGCTTTCAAACGATTGGGCTATAATTTCTACAAAGTAAGTTATTTTCGAAAATTTATGTCATCGAGAAACAATATTGAAGAATTTTTTTTTCGCTGGCTAAAGAAAAACCGCTGTTAACTGTAAGATAGAAAAAGAATTGATTAGCATGGGTCAAAAATCATAAGAATTTGGCGTGACGGATCACGATTTGCATATTACCGAAGTAGGATATTGAGGACAAAAAATGAACCTCATCATCCAGACGTCGAAAATTCAAGTTTCCAGCTTCTGTAATGATTTGGGGATGCATGTCGGCTCAAAGGGTTGGCAAGTTGCACATCATAGAAGTTAGATACATTGACATCCTCAGAGACAGAGTCTATAATGCCATCCATTGACAGCTTAAAAACAAGAAATAATGAGTACATATTCCAACAAGATGGCGCTTCGTGCCGTACTGCTAAAATTTGTAAAGGAATAGAAGTTGCAAAATAAAATTCCAAAATTAGATTGGATATCCAGTAGTCCCGATCTGTCGCCAATTAAAACACTTTGGCACAGTTCATAGCTAAAGAATCAGTTCGCTCACTCTGCGTCGGCACTTTTGATCTCAATGTTCCAGTTTATACACTGCGCAACTCGGATTTGTATCCCTCGCTAATACAGAATCAATTCATAACCAATACAATATATGACAACCGCCTATATTCAAACAGCATTCTTCCTGCGCATCCTGAATTTGTATCCCTGGAGTGGATATTATTTTGGAACATCCAATTGGTCCGAGTGAGCGAACTGATTCTTTTAAGCTATAAACTGTGACTTTGGCAAATATGAAAAAAAAAAATTACGAGCTACTCCTGCTAGAACAGTTCCTGAATTAAAAGAGAGACTAACTCAAATTTGGGACTCCTTCACTGCTACAGATTGTAAACAGATAGTAGATACCATGCCAAACAAAATGTTTTATTGTTATCTTATTTAATTTAGTGTTCTGTACATATCTCTAATTTTATATTAATAATTTTAATAAAAAATGTTGATAAACAATAAACATGTCTCTAATTATAATAAAAAATAGTTGAATTTAATATATTTTTCTTTTGTATTTACTAATGTTGTCTAAAATAAACAAATATAATACTGAATGGGCCAAATGATATGATTCTTGGCCCATATATAATGGAGGATTGCGAATATTTTTGAAACATTTTTTTTAATAACTCTACACTGCGATATTATCCGAACTACTTCTATTTTTCAATGAACTAATTATTTTATCTAATTACTCTAAACTAATTAAATTAAAACTAAAGGAAAATTTAGTGACATTTAGTCACAATATCAACCACATTATTTATTTATGTACCGTGTGTTCCATCATTGCGTAATTGATCGAACTCAATCCGTATTTCAAATAAAATAAAAAGTACTGGTAGGGGTTTTCCTGAAGAAGATTCTCTTCAAAAGTTTATTAGGTTCAAATTGAATTACAAAAAAATAATCAAAATTTAAATATATTTTTATTTTACATTATACAACAAATAAATTAAATTTTTATAAAACATGTGGAAATATAAACTATTTATAGAAATATTGAAAACATCACTGGTAATAGATAAATCACATAAACATACAGGGTGTTTTTAAAAAATGGGACAACGTTCGCCGGTAGTGTCCTCACATGAAAATAAGTGGTTTTTTATATCAACATAGGTTCTTGCTTCGTTTCGGAGCTACAGGGTGTCAAAATTTAAAAAATAAATATTTTTCCCAAAATCTAAAAAACCACGAGAAACAACGATGAGAATTGGGTTATTAGAAACATTAAACCGGGGGCATTTTTTGATTATGTTGATCGAATGAACGTGAGTTGCAGAACCGAACTTATTATTTTATGATGAGAAAGTCTTATTTTTTGTGAGGATTCTACCCTCGAACCTCGCCCAATGTTTTTTGAAACACCCTATATACATAAAAGAGAATAAAAATTTGAGTAATATATTGCCTCTTAAGTAGTAGTAAAGGTAAAGCAAAAATTTTGTATCCAAAAATTATTCAAATTTTAATATATGGTAAACTTATTTTACAATTTGAAACAAAATGTTTAAGTTTCTTTTGCAAAATAGGATGAAAATCTTTTTAGGTGAAATATAAATATTTTCAATTGCTATAAAACATTAGAAAAACATTTAAGTACGTAAGTTGTACAGTGGAAATTTACCCAAAGAGGAATTTTGACTCCTTAATAACAGTAACAATGTTTGAAGTACATTAAATTATTTTGGTTCTAGCCGACGTTAGTTAAATAAACTATGTTCATAAATGATGTTGTGTATCAGAAAGTAAAGCTTCTGTGCCTCCATTTTGCGGACTGTAATCAGCATCGTATTTTCCCGATTCCAATTTTAGAAATAATATTATTCCTAAAATGATACCTATTGCGTGAAAGGCGCAGATACCTAAAGCTGCTATGAATATAATCCAAAAATTGGCTTGTACTTTTTCAACGATGAATCGTATACATCCCTGAAATAAAAACGAATTAAAAAGTGTTGTTCTTTTATTACTTTTTACATTATTGTATGATATGGTTTAAAAACCTATTTAATTCTTGTTTTAACAGTCGAAACTAATTAAAAAATTAAATAAATTAATAATTAAAACTATATTTTAAGCACTGTTTTATTTCATAGAGAGGAAACAGTCAAATAAAATATCTTAAAATCTCATTTTCATACAGGTACATGGCATCTCTTCCATAAATGCTAACGCCACCGTTTATAGCTAAAGAATCAGTTCGCTCACTCTGCCTCGGCACTTTTGATCTCAATGTTCCAGTTTATACATTGCGCAACTCGGATTTGAATCCCTGGCCAGAGACAACAGAGACGTGTAACTTAATAGGAAAACATGTTCGGTGGTCCATTTAAATTACATATATGACCCTCTTTTTCTTTTACATTGATCTTTACATATGTCTATCTCTCTCCAATAAAACTAACACCATTTTCAGAGGGCGCTGGTGTTGCTGGTTTTTTGACGTAGAAATCTCGATTAAAAGTATTAAAACTGACAACTGACAATGTTATGAATGTTGTTATGAACATGTGCATTTTATTAAAATTAATTTAATTTGGGCCCCGTATATTTCTTTTAGTCTGATTTTGTTGTTTAATTAATTTTCTTTGGGGGGGAATGTTTATTTTTGCATATTATTTTTTGCATGAAGCAATTTCTGGAACCAAACTCGCGTTTTTGTACACATTTCTTTCTAGAGGTAAGTAATTTCCAATTTATTAAGAAAACCACTGTATAATGTGTGTGTTTAATAATATATTACACAATGACTATAATTATTTTAGGTGAATTGGAACAGAGATCCATTGTTACAACTACTTGTGTTCATTAAGTAGGTAGATGAATGTCTGGACAGCTTTAATGGCAGCACAAAGTTCCTATCTACTAGAAAAGTAAAATGTATGCTGAGTAAAAATCTGCACATGTAGTATTGGCAAAGGACTTTTGAAATGATTAGAGATTAGCTATTTCTTACATACACCTACCTCTAACAGCCACTCTAAAGGAAGAAAACAAAAATTGAATCACAAAAGGGCAGAATTTTAAATCAGGATGCATTGGAAAATAAATTTGGGGACATCAGGTCGGTTTTGGATTTTATAGAGAGATCAATCTCAAGAAAAGTTAATTTATCCTGCAGAACAACCAGTAGTTTAAGTAGGATTTGCTATAACTTTATTAGAAATTTTCTTTGATAATAAATTGTAATATAGGTACCAATTATTGTTTCAAATGAAATTGAAAAAGAGTTAAATATGAAATTATATTTTTCATGAGTAAAATGTTATATTCATTCGAACATTGTAAGGTAATCTATAATTAAGGGAATATGGAAAATAGGTATACCCTGGTGGTGTAAGAGAAAGATAAGGGGCAATGACAAAAAAATTACAAAAGTGTATTTATCTTTAAATAGTGTTTATTATTAATAATATTATTTGCTATGTTTGAAAAGTACCTCCTGCTTCCGAACAGATCGAATAGATTAGACTACTAGTTGGAGAAGGTCCACCTAGTAACCAAATTAGGAGACTAGGAAAACTTTTACATGACTGGGGACACAACAGGAATGCACACACACAAGATACACAAACAAACGAAATAACAGGGGTAAGCCTTCAGCAACGTCCTGTTTAAATGATGATAGTATGTCATCCTTCATTCCCTTTTAGAAGGCATGGCATATAAATATATTGATCTTGATTACTATAAGAGGAGTTAGCAGGGGTCTAGCAGGTTTCGATCCAGTTTACAGGATGGGAACTTACTTGACTCGGGCCTTATACATTTGTGTTGAGTGTATGTGTGTTTCGTTTCCATGGTTTCTATTAAAATAAACAGTCATAACATATCCATACCTTTTTGCCAGACTAACATAAGTGACATTTGTTCAAATAGCACTTATGATAGTCTGGCAAAAAGGTATCGATACTATACTTTATAAAATATTTGTTACATTAGTTTTTAAATATATTATGAATATATAACAACTGTTACTTTCTTTGTAATTTGTCACAAAATGATAGGAGGTACTTTCTAAACGAAGCAATTGTAGTTTGTTTTTATGTACCTTACAAAAATATAATTTATAGAAAAAGAGTTTGGTGTATTATTTTTCCAAGTTTAAATATTTACTAATCAATAGAATTTTCAAGTTTTTTTTTAGCGAAATTTACAAGAGTCATAAAAACTATGTTCACTGTTTATATTAAACTGATTAAAACTTCCTTTATTAAAATGATTATTTATGTGATAAAAAATTTGATGTTATTGGAAGCTTTTATATTTTTTTAATATACAGTGAAACAATAGTTTTTGTTTCTCCTGTAAATTTGTATAGAAAAACTTTTTTTCTGAATCCATGTTTGAATTTCCCGCCCTAAAGCATTTTTAATTTTCCCGCTATATACTAGTGGCGCCATCATAGACTGGTTGTGGTTACAATCGCCCAAATAACTTTTACCGAACAAAAAAAATACATTGAGTTACACGTCTCGCTGGATTGCCTCTGCCCTGGCGCATACAGAATCAAATCTTAATAGTCCAAGAGCCCACTACAAATTTTTACCGCCATCTGATAATGAAATAAAATATACTACAAAAGCTTGTAAAAACATTATACTTTACCAAATGTCAGCTATCCCAATCCTGAGCAAAGTGGTTAAAAAAAATTATATTAAAAAAAGCACATAAGGCATGACAGCGCTAATTTTGTTTGCCCTTAAAGTTTTCCAGATAATAACATATTCAAATATATCTTGATATATATCGTTAACGGGAAACATTTTCTTCCTCTTAACATCGCACAAAAACATCTACACCCAATTAGTAGGTAAAAATCATTAAAAATATGAATCACTTTTTGCTGATTTAAAAATATGAATCACTTTTTGCTGATTTAAAAATTTATTTGTATGTCTATTGTTATGATTAATTTTTACAGGTTGCCATAGAAACGACAAAAAAATTGTCTAACAAGAGTTTATAATTATTATTAACTATCTCTGCAAATGGTTTATACAATGCCATCCTTTTTCCTTTCACACTTACACATGGTTTAAAAGGTAGGTAAAAATATTGATAATTGTTTTAAAAGATAGGTTCACAATGAATTAGGATTGTAATTTTCAGGGAAAACACAATTATCGCTGTCATGTCTTATGTGATTTTTTGAATATAAAATATTTTTTTTTAACCACTTTACTCAGGATAGAGATTGGCACAGGTGCAATTTGGTAAAGTACAATATTGTTACAAGTCTTTGGAGCATATTTAATTTTGTTATCAGATGGCGGTCGTAATTTGCAGTGGGCCCTCTTACTATAACCAATTAGACATTCCAACGACCTGTCAAACAATAGCTGCCAGTAAGAAGGTCTGGTATATCTAAGGGGGGTAGCGACATAGTCTTGCATTTTAAACGCTTTTTTTATTCAAAATAATAGTCACCAAGCCTACCAATTTAGAAAGAATATAATAAGCGGTTTCTTATTTTTATTATTATTTTTATTGTGTTTGACATAAAATATTAAATGTAATGCATTATTCATGATTTTACTTAATGTAAACAGAATACATCGTATGTCGCAACCCTTGGATATATCAAATCTTCCGACTGGCAGTTCATTTGTTTGAAATGCCTAATACAATATATGACAATCGCCTATATTCAAACAGCCTGGGGTAGTATTCTCGAATCACGAATACCGTCATTCGCATACGTGTTTTACAATGTGTCTCACTTTGTTGAACGAAAACCAAGTGAGACAAATCATAAATCTCGCATGCGAATCTATATTCGTGACTCGAGAATACTACCCCTGTCTTCTGCGCATCCTGAATTTGTATCCTTGAGAATGGATGTTATTTTGGAACATCCAATTCGTCCGAGTGAACTAACTGATTCTTTAGCTATAAACTGTGCTAACGCGTTCAAATGTTGCAAAAATCTAAATCCTGTTACGTTCATGTGGTCTTCGATAGATAATGCGGACCCCACACGCAAAACTGCATAACCTGCCCGAAAGCAAATAAGGCATTCATTGCATTTCAATCAATCATACTGAGTGAACTGAGTCTGTTACTGAGCAGTTAGTTTCATACTCAGTCAAGCCGGTTTTTTTTGTCACAAATTGAACGAATTAACCACGATACACAAATACCGGTATGCTACTATTTCGACCGAATTTTACACTTTCCGCGCATGACGTAAACGTGGCTAAAGCAAACAGTATTTGATTGACATTTCAATAAGAATTATTTTTTAATACAGATTTATTTCTAATTATTTGAAGAGTTTAAAGTGTAGTGATTTTTTCAGCAATTTTATTATGACAATAAAAAAACTATAAAATGTCTAATTGTGCTGTGGCTACTTGTAAAAAGTATAGCAAAATTACGATGGGAACGGACATTAAATATTTTCGATTACCAAAGAATGATGTGTAGGAGCTAGGGTTGCCACCTTTTTGAGAAGTAAATAAAGGACTACGATGCTGACAGGAGCTCCGGTATACAGAAAGTCCTCATTCTTCTACTGAACTTCTAAAAAAAAAGGTCGCCCAGCTTGTAACAAACAAAAATCATCCTCGTCATTCTACCGAGCTTCTAAAATTCTAAAAAAGTCCTCAGCTTATATATTTTTGTACAAACCGTGTACCTTCCAAAGATATGTGCTGTAAAAAAAGACATTTGTCGTAAAAAGGACATTTTAAGCTTTAAAAAGTCAGAAGGACATTTTGCTTCAAAAAAGGACAGTTGGCAACCCTAGTAAGAGCATTTATTTAAATAATGAAAAATTTGATTCACATTTATTAATATTCAGTGCCAATGGTCATGTAAAATGCTGATTTGGTTGCACAAACATAAATTTCATGTGCATATTATGACTAGATGTTTTTTGAAACTCGTATTTGCTCTGTACACTTCGAAGTCTCCTGTTTCAAAGTACCTCTGTAGTAGAGATTATTGAGATATATGCCCATAAATAGCCAACATTTGAAACCTGGTGCTGTGCACACACTAAGTATTCCCAAATTTCCCGCAGTAATCCAGTAAAGGCAATGTGAAGAACCTAATCTGTGATCAGCCAAAGAAGACAGTGGGATGAAGCAATTGAAATTTTAAAAGCAATTGAACCAGCTAGTTTTTCTGAACAAGAGCTTAACTACACATATCCTTCTCCCAAAGACCCAAAAAAAAAACTGGTAATTGAATCATGACATCAGTATTTTAATTTTTTTCAAAAAAAATATCCTAAATATTCTGAGATATAGCAGTGGTTTTACTCGAATCTTGTTCGCACAAATTGTGCATTATTGCTTGACGTTCTTTGTTATGAACTTATGTAAGATACATTTCTTTAAAATAAACTGTTTTTACTCATTGTACTTTATCACATATCTTATTCTTGTTTTTTTTTTTTTTTTTTTTTTTTTTTAACTTTTGTTATCTGACTTTATTGGTTACTTTAGTTAGCTCAAATTTTGCCTGCTGTCAGTGACAGTGAAGTTGTACATCAATTGAAATAATCGAAAGTTTATATAATAATAATAATAATAATAATATAAGGTATATTACACAAGAATTACATTAATTATTTATTCTAAATACATAAAAGTGTAAGTAACCTAGTAAATCCACTAAGGCTAAGCCAGCACGTGGATTTGCCATTGACACTTTTTTTTTCTTATATACCTATTCAATTACATTTATATTTATAAAATTTCAATAAAATGATGAAAATAATAGTTATTAAAACAGATATATTGAATCATATTAAAAAAGAATAATTATAAAATAATAATAATAAAAATAATTATAATCGATTAAAAACATTGAAATTACAGGATAAATATATAAAAATTAAATATTGAAAACTAAATACATTTATTTAAATGAATATCACAATTTTTTATACTAAGAATTGCATAGGATCGACTACGGCGTGAACTTCATGCCTATTCATTTGCAACATGTGTCTTTTTATTTTATTTTTAAAAATATTTACGGATTTTGTTTCTCTTATATGTACCGGCAGATAATTAAATAGTCTAGAAGAGTTATGTACAAATCCCCTTTGGCTTATTGTTTTTGAAAAGTAGTCTACATGAACGAGATTATTAGTATTTGCCCTAGTTTTATATTGATGGTCTATATATTTGAGTTCATTTTTATTTTTATAGGTTTCGATACACATTTTTAGAAAATAAAGTTGCCGTATATCTAGAAAACCAGATTCCTTAAATAGATTATCCGAGGAGTACACTCGAGGCTTACCTAAAATAATTTTAATAAAAATTTTTTGTATTATATCTATTTTTTTTATGTAGCAAGTCGCAGCTGCACCCCATCCAATTATTCCGTACGAAAGTCTAGATTCTATCAGTGCATGGTACATTATTTTCAATTGTGGCAATTCTAAAATACTCTTTAGCAATCTGAATTTGTACATAAAACTTCTTAAAGTATTTGTAACTTTTCCAATGTGAACATCCCATCTCATATGACAGTCTAAATAAATGCCCAGATATTTTACAGATTTGGAAGATTGTATTCGGATTTCAGTACCATGATTATTGATGCTCAAGAGATTGTATGTAGGTAGAGTATTTTCGTAATTTTCGTACAATATTAAATAAACTAAATGTTCATAAAATTTGTGCAATATTTGTACGCATACAATAACTTTTTCACTTTCACTTCAAAAAAACCACAACCTTTAACAATGAAGTAATGTTACAGTTTTTATTATCGAAAACGTCTCAATACTTGTATTTATCTATGTAGATGCGTCGGATTATTATGCCACGTGACGTCATATTATGTGACAAGGGTGGAGCTAACATGCGCAGGAACATATGTTCTAAGGCAGGAACATTAATACCGGTATTTGTGTAAACATGTCTCTAAATAAGCACAAGTATTCAGTGGCGTAGCGTGGAGTCGATACAAGGAGATGCAATAAGTAACTACGATTTAAATTTTATAAAACAATCAAGTTTTTTTGTTTAAAGTCTTTAATTTTTGACTTACAAATAAAGTATATAAAAAAATTAGGCAGGTTAAAAAAATTATCAAAATATTAAAAAAAGAGTGAACTTAATTAAAGTAGGACAGTTTACGTAAAAAAAAACAAAAATGTGAACGTATCCGTTTTTACATTTTAAAATTAAGATCAATCCTTCTATTGTGCAGATTTGCGGAAACATTTATTACATTTTCTTCGAATAAAGGGGAAGAGACGCGATTACGATACTCATTCGCGTATTAATACCACTAAATGCGTTTAAGAGATCGCATCAGCCACCAGCGAAAACAGCGGACAGGAAACGAAAACGATGAATCACGACCGGTAAGGTCGCTGACCTAGGTTGTCCCCACCAGGCGTTTATGATGTAATGGGAAATATTTATATTTGTAACGTAGTAGCGTATTCTATAAAGCTCGACAAATACACAAATAATTGAAATTGAATTTATTTTATTCTATTATAAAAGATCTTACTGATTTTATTTCAAATAAAAAAATAATAACTGACAATATTTTGAAGAGGTGCAACGCATCACCCGCATCAATGGACGCTTCGCCACTGCAAGTATTATTTTAATCGCCAGCAAGTTGTATTAAATAGAAAAGTCCATATTAATGGAGTCTATTAGAACTGCAAGCATTCAAATGACTTTCTATGTGTGCAGGTATGTATCCCTTGAAGGGAATCAACTGCCCTTACCGTTCAACATTATTGACCCAAAAAAAAATCAAAAAAGTAGCTGCGCTGCTCTCTCGCGCTATTCCAAAAACCTAAAAAAAATAAATTACCTCCATATTTATATTTGAAGGGTGATCCCTAAATCCACAATATTCAGTAACTGTTTTACAACAAGAATCAGGTACTTTGTTTATGACTGCGCCATCTTGAATCCAAGGGCTCTGTGACCAATCTTCATAGTTAACAGCACCACAGCAGTGTAACTAAAACAATTAGATAACAAAATTAAAAAAGAAATTCAAGAATAAATTCCAGAACAGCAAGGTGACAATAAATCCAGTCCCAGTGGAAATCGAACTCACGACTTTTGGTAACGCTTGAAGACTGTGTGTTATAAGGAGAAATAAGAAACGTCTGTTCAAAGTTAAGGTCGGGGTATCCAAGTGTATAATAACCGTATATATGCAGACCAAAATTTAAATTGATTGATTTCCGAATTTACAGAACGGTAATTAATTCACGAGGCGAAAAAAACTAATGATTATGGTATGATAAGAGTTGTTGGTACCAGCATGATAAAAATCATTATTTAGAAAATCTCAGTATTTTTTTATTTTCATTTGTAAAATAATTCATTTCGTATAATTAAATAAAGAAATTCATTTATATGTTAAATCTTATTTTTTTAAGGTTACAACAATTCTCTTTTACTTAAATTAAATTTTATAAAAAACATTTTTTATTAATTTTATTTTTTATTAATTTCCTTTTTACAAAGCTAGAGTTTATAATTCTCACTAGCTTTCTAAAAATAAGAAAAAGAGTATTACTGGCGCCCCACTCTCCCAGAAAACGTGTGCTAATTTCTTTTTAATTTGATTAAAGGTAAGTAATATTTGGTGTTAAATTTCTATGAGCTAGTCAAAATTTCTTATAAGTGTTTTGAAATTGACATTTTATTGCAAAGTAACGTATATAAATATTTCATATTATCTGAAATCAGTCGGATTTTCTTCCGACTGTCCATTTCAAATCTCATATAAGTTCTATTTTGAACAAAAAATGGCTGCTATATCTACCTACTCGGTTAGTTCATCGTAAATAATAGTAATACTCTGCTTAATTTACCCTCTTACGAATGAATGTTTAACCACAGCTTATACAATACAGCTCCACAACTCCGTGTCGGCGTCTTTGATCTGGCGGTCGAGAACCAAGCAAGACGGAATGGTGCTATCTCTGTTAGATTAAAGGGAAAAGTCGGGCCCGGATTAAGCAATTTTTTTATTATTGAAAAAATTGAAAACCTTGACGTAATAAGGTTGGTTACATGCCATGTTAAGTAAGTTTTGGGAAATTAAATTTTTAATTTGTTTTAAGTCTGTCAAATATAATTAAAAAAATTATTTAAATATAAATATTACGAAAAATAGCACATCTTTCGGATTAGAGGTAAAATAATTTGTATGTGGCTAGTAAAATCCTCGTTAACAAATGTTTTGAGCTAAAACAGTCACTTCACGACAAATTGTGACTTGGATCCTTTTTACACCAAGGGCTTCAATTGTTAAAGAAATGTGTCATGCTCGTGGATGCAAATCAAGTGGTACCCCGTGTCTCTGGCAAGTGTTACTCTTCGCGCAAAGGGTTTATACCTAGATAAACGAATGCTTCGACTGAGGTCTGGGAACTCTATGGTATTTTGGAATTATAAAGAATTTGTGCTTTTATTTTAACAATATTGGTTATATTTAGATGTATTCTTATTAATTGAAATACAGATTTGTAGAAGTAATACTTTAACAGTTTTTATTAATATAATATATTCAATTTTTATCTGACCATACCGAAGTAGGGAATTTTGAAACTTTATAGTAATGTGAAATTTGAATTACAATATTACACGATATTACATAATTAGTACTTATTTGAGGTAGGTACTAAATTTGTACTTGGAGAAAGTAATATCGATTTTTACAAGAAAACTTGAAAAGTAAATTAATTTAGTTCTTTTTTCTGATGTAAAACTTAAACCAAGAAAACAAATAAATTGTAGTTTGTTCAACAAGGGTGGATATGATAGCCGTATCACACAAAGACGAAGTTTGAGCACGACGTCGTAGGCGGAGTACTCAATCGTCTGATTGTGATATGAACAATCCACTCGATATGGTCAGTATATTTTTTCTACGACCCACTAACGAAAATCTACAAATTTAAAAAATTATTTTAGGTTATTTAGACAAAATAACTAATTTTAAAATAATTTACGAAGTTGACTAATTTATAAAATAAAATAAACATGAAAAATTAATTAGTCCTCGGCCTAGATTCGATCCCGGGCTTTTCGCATGGAAGGCAGATGTTCTGTCCTCATCTTCACCGAAACTTTCAGGACTTTAGTTTTAATACTCGTAATTAAATTAGTATCATGTAGTTTGATTAAAATTTTTTTTTTTTTAAATGTGGACATAATAAAAACAAAAATGCTATTATTTATCGAGTCTACACAAAAATTTTAATGTATATTTAATATCAATAACTAAAATATATATTGACAATTAGTTTAACAGAATTATCACTTATTTAAAAATTTTTAAATAATAGGAGTTGGGTGACCAAAATATGAACTGTGATTTGTAGATTTAATTTTGTTAAAGTGTTCTCACTACCTAAAATGGATATGAAATATATTCGTAGTTGAACGCAATAACATAATTTTTCGTTTTGTAGTATGTGCGTAGATTGGCTAATATCCATGCACAGATTACAAAACGAAAAAGTATGCTATTGCCTTCAATTGAACGAATATATTTCATATCCATTCTAGGTAGTGAGAACACTGCAAAAAAAAATAAATTCGCCAATCACCGTTCATATTTTGATCAACCGACTGCTATTATTTTTAAAATTTTAAATAAATGACAATTCTGTCAAACTAATTGTCAGTATATTTTTTAGTTATTGAGATTAAACATACAATAAAATAAGTTATTCTTTTGGAAAACGTTAGCATGGATGACTAAAGGGTATTGGGTTAATTAATTCTAAAAGTGTGGTACAAATGTTATTTTTTGTAGCCAATTCTTCAAAATTATTTTAAAATATCTTTTCAATATTGAATATTAGTTCTACAAATTCATCATTTGACAGTTGCAGATTTCCAAATGTATCTGAATTGGCGTTATCATATGCCTTTTAAAAGCAATAAAAAGAAAAATCGTCTAATACAACGTGATCTTTGTTATATTTAAGACAGGTATCGCAGGAGTGGATCCGCAAGGCTTTTATTAAAAGGTAACCACACACATACCTGATAAAATTTTTCTGTAGCAATTCGTCTTTACAATAATTTAGGGTGTTAATAATTTCATCATAAAATAAAATACAAGGTGTTCCATTTAAAAAACATACATTTTAATTTTCCAGGCAAAAACGTGACACCCTGTATATCCAAAGATATTTTTAAAATATGTAGGTATTTTTCAAATCCATATAACTTTTATTTAAAACTTTCTTGCGTGTCTACAACAAAATAATGAACAATAACGCACTAATGAGACACCCTGTATAAATTATATTTTTAACAATGAAAATTTCTTATAATGTAGTACTTATCGGTTTGGGTCCTTGAGAAAACTAAAGAATGTTTTCTTGCAGGTATAACCCTTATTAAAACAGCTTTTGACTGCACAAACTCATTCTACTCACAGCTAAAGAGTCACCAAAATAATAACAGTACCTTTAACTCAAACAAAATCAACGAAATTATAGGCTCCACGAAATTATACAATCAACGAAATTATACGCACGACTCAACACCTTGCCTAAGTACGCTTCTGAACGCCAAAACCGTCTTTTCCCTTCGAAGGCGGAGCTTAAGCGATGCGCGACGAAATCGACGCAAACCGTTGCCGCCAAGAGAGTGTTTTAGCTGTATTGTTAAGCTGTGGTTTAACCCTCGAAGCCGACTCAGATTGTGTGAGAAAGGAACGGTTATTTTTATTTGCCGTGGCACTCCGGAGCGACTTACAGGTGAGGAAAGCCTCACTCACTATCATCGAAATGGTAACGCACTTCGATTTTTAATTTCCCAGCTAGCACATAACGTTGCCAAACCTTTCGGCGACGTTGCATTAAGGGACCGTAATAACATTACTATACAACGTAAATGCAACGTTCATGAAAAGTTGTTGAGGGAAATCAAAACCTCGCAAAATTTCTATTTGTTATTTACCTAGTTAACCTACCTGTTATGTTAACACAACGTAATAAAGTAATTTGCTAAAATAGTATCCACGAGAAGTACTGTGAACATCACAATTCTGAATTCGGAACCTTTATGTTTATGTCAATTGTCACTTTGTCTTGTCATTTGTCTTGTCTTTTTTTGATGGTTTATTTTTTGACTTCCAGAATTTATTTTATAAATAATTATTATTTATACATTCGAGTAGATTTGGTAAGGGTCCTCTATAAAATAGAAAACTATTTTCTTTGTTTCAGATTACAATGCCTGATGTAAATTTATTATTTCATTCATTAGGTATACAAAATGGTTTAACTACAATAAAAACAAAGAATTGCAGATAAATCGTTGTCAACGAGAAAATAAACATTTAACCGAATGGCCAGTAACATTTTACACCAAATACTTATAAAAGGTAATTATACTTAATCGAACTAAAAATACATTTTACAAATATTATATTTTAGGTTTCCTTTGACATTCCAGGAATTTTAGAGGGAAAGCCCACTCACGCGACATGTCGCGCGCGACTGATCGCGCGCGGCAATACTTTTGATGTTTTTAAATGACCACGCGACCACGCGACATAACCGCGTTAATGGGGTTTGAGTCATTTAAAAACATCAAAAGTAAGAGCAAAAAATAACTTCTAAAAATTCTACTTTAACACCCTGTAAGTTATGACTATTCATTTTTTATGTAAACAAGTTTACTTAAATCGGCATATTTTCGATCCCAGGCAATGCTACTTTTCCCCAAAAATTTTACCTGGGTCACCCTTTCAGTGGCCTGTGGACGTACAAATAAATTTAAATAAGAATATTGTCATGTGTGTTCCAAGCACGTTTAACCTTCCAATTATAAGAGAGACCTCAAAGTAGAACTTTACGTTGGTTCATTCGGAATTCGAGACTTCTTGACTTGGGACTCTTCCCTTTGGCTGAAAATGTCTCAATATACAGCAAAGGTAAAATTGTATATGTCTCCAAAAAAAAAAAAAGAAAATGTTCACATGTTGTACTTGATTGAAGAATTAAAAACATATCAGTGACTATGTCCAGGAAAAATACAGTGACATTTTATTTTACTTTTGGTATATACACCCACCATGTAGCAGTTATTTGTATTTGTTACATCATTTTTATGTTCTGCGTTATATGTATAAAAAACTATGTTTGGTATCGTACTTATACATAAATCCTATCTTTTCCGTAAAATAAGTAGTTAAGTACATTCAATTGGAAAATATAAAGCAGGTAAATGAGTCAACTGTTGCGAATCCTAATCAGTTAAATATTTCCGGCGTCCCCAGATGCGAAATTTTTACCCAGCATCCCAAGTTAACAAACCTGTCGATTTATGTGTATAAAGTGGGAGAACTAGCAAAAGCCTTTCCAACTTTTACTTCTGTTCTATGTAATCATTGGCACTAATTGTATCTTGGAACAACAGATACCTGCATCTCCCGGATCCCTTTAGGAGAAAAACTGTGCAACAAAGTCTTACCTTTTCTTGTATATAGTCAATAGATATCGTTTTACCATCGTCAAATTTGTAAGTACTTAAAATCGTTTGATTAAAATTAAGATTTAAATCGTCTTCTATATTTTCTTGGAATATAAATGCTAGGACTCCAATCAAAATTTCGAATAAAAATATAGCGACCAGCAAAATTATGTACTAAAACAATTAAATTATAAATTAATTATTTGTATACCAAGGCCGTAAAATTACTTGGTCGAATCAGAAACTTGCGGCCGAGATGTATAGCCAAGGCTAAGCAACTTCTGGTTGGGCCAAAAAATCATACAGTCGAGGTGCACACATTTTTAGGCAACTGTCTCATCAAGTAAATCCAACATATTTTTTTACATTCTTGTTCCTGAAAGGAGACTCAAATACAAGAATAGTTTAAAATTTTTATTGATCGAATAAAAATACCTATAAAATTTGCAGATAAACTTGTGTTTATAAAAAGCGGTCGTAAATTACCTACCTAAATATGGTCAAATAAGTGATATTTTAAAGCGGCCAAAAAAGTTGTACTTTAGGGACGTTAATGAAAGGGTAACATGTGATTTTTTGTGACAGTGGCCTAAAAAGTATACAGTATGGTTCAAATGAAAGGAATACATTCATTATAATGGAAGTTTTTCGAAAAAATGCTCGGACAGGTCAATTTTGTTTACTAAAAGCGAAATTTTTCAAGAATTCAAGTTTCTCTCACTTCCCATTTTTGGGCAGCGACGTCATTGACAATTTTTTTTAAATAGTAACTCCAATTTTTTTTCTTGATTTTGATAGATCTTGCAATTTCCTACTCGGAAACATAATATTTTACACAACAATTTTTGGAATAAAAGTCATTTAAAGATCAGACACATAAAGGGTGGTCCATGTAGTGCTCTCTTTTTAAAAATTCAAAACCAATTTTATTCCATATATTATTTGTTTATTCGAAAGAGCAAACATTTCCATTATTTATGGAACACGATTTCATTCATGTGGCTGCCTCGACTGGCTTCGCAGTAACGCATCCTGTTAACCCAATTTTCCAAGACATTGGTGGCAGTTTCTGACTCTATCTCACGAATGGCTTGCTCGATGTTCGCCTTAAGGGCCTGAATTGTTAATAAATTGTTCGCATAACATCGCTCCATCACGGCACCACACCAAAAAGATCGATTGTGGCATGGGCTGTGTGGCATGGCGCACCATCCTGCTGAAACCAAAGATCATCTAAGTCCATGTCTTCAATTTCCAGCCACACAAAATCGTTTATCATGCCTTTTTGCGTCTCTAGCAGTATTTTCAAAGAAAAATGGGCAAATGATGCCACCGCTCCAAAATCCGCACTAAACTGTCACTCTCTGAGGATGTATTGGCTTCTTGATGATCACGTGCGGGTTTTCCAATCCCCAGATGCGGCAGTATTGCTTGCTAATAAAGCCGCCGAGATGAAAATGCGCCTCGCCAGAAAAGATGATTTATCAAGCAAAATCATTGTACATTTCAAGCAGCTCTAAGGCCCAAACTGAGAAGCGATAACGTATCGGATGGTCGTGTATCTTCAAATGCTGAGTCAATTGAAGATCTTGGCGTAATAAAGAAACATGCCACATTGTAAGTTTTGAAAAAATGGAGTTTTTAATTTGTTTTAAATCTGTCAAATACAAATTAAAAAAAATTATATAAACATAAACATTACTAAAAATAGTGTCTCTATTTATTCGAAATAGAGGTAAAATAATTTGTATGTAGCTATAATCCTCATTAATAGATGTTTTGAGTTAAAACAGTAACTTTACGACAAATTGTGGCTTACATCCTTTTTACACCAAGAGCTTCAATTGGAAAGGTCCGCGGAGATATTATATTAACATTTTGTCAAGATTTCAAACGGGCAAAAGCTCTCAGTGTCAAAATAACATATGATTAAAAAAAATCACTAGATTGACCACCCTTTACATTTTATATATATTTATTTTATTGAAAAAATCCGCTTTTAGTAAACAAAATTGGCCTGTCCGAGCATTTGTTCGAAAACCCAACTAGGTACTTCCCTTATAATGAATTTATTGCTTTCATTTGAACCATACTATATATTTATCAACGTTAGTTTGAGTTATTGGAAAAGACAACGGTATCTATTAACAAAAACTTACTAAAAATAATAATTTGGTCCAATGTTTTGGTATTGCACAGCACCCTAATAAGAATACTAAAATGACTAGACAACCCGTAGCTAAAAATAAGTAAAATGCCGTCGAATATGTATGACTATCCAGGACTCGTAAAAAGTGATAAGTTATCAGAAACTTCCAGGCTCCCAAAGCACATATTGCTAGCCCTGTGAACTGAAAAAAAAAACAAAAAATATTAACAGTAAGAAGGCAACAGTAGATATGCAAACTTTTGGGGTGGTGGGGGACATTTTATGCTTAATAAACATGATATATGTCTGAAACCTTTTCATTTCCGATAATAGTCTTGCCCTGTGTGCATAAAGCTATGGAAAATTTGGATACACCGCTAATATATCTAAAAGATACCTCATTAAGATATCAACAAACTGTTAAAATTTCATTGAAATCGGTTAAAAAGTTCTTAACACATTGATTAAAAATCGATTTTCTTTTTTAAATTTAACACTGTATCTCGGAAACGAAACGTTTTCAAATATTTAATTCAATAAGCGCACGCTACTGAAGAAATTTACTTATTAATCTAATCAAGCACTACCTATTATAGGCCAGTCAATAAAGACATCCTATTTTCAAAATTCCACATTAATTACAAAAGTTTTTAAACTTTGTAATAATAATCGGCGGTTTAAAATTTTGAGAAAAAAATTGCAAAAGTGCTGCCTACTTGAAGCAATATGTATTATTTTCAACATTATATTAGACTTGCTTTTTTTTTTGAGTCCGGAACTTGATTTAGATAAACTTGATATAGATAAAAAAATTGCAAAGTGCTACAAACCGATGACATAACTCAAGTTTTTGGAACAGCTGTTCCAATTTGCAACCTTTTATTTTGCAAGGAAATATTTTTTTAAAATAGCAAAATATTTCTTTATTTTCCTGTAATTTTGTGAAAAAAAATGCAAAAGTTTTGAAAATTCGTTGCAAATGTTAAGATTATTTTTCTTAACAATCTGGTAAATTTGCAACCTCGGACAAGGTCCGGAACCTTGAAAAATTAACAAAAATCATCAATTCGCACTTTTGCAGTCGCAAAAAATTTGAAAAGTATTGCAAATTTTACAGAACGCTTTAAATACCTTCCTATAAATAAATGCAAATTTGCAACGCTCCAAGATTACCTTAAAAAATTGTAATTTGTTTATTACCAATTTTGCATTGCGAAATTAATAGAAAAGTGTTTAGGGCAACAACAAAAATATATTCATTAGCAATATGAAATTTGCAACCTTATACCTATCAAGCAAAATATTTAAATAATTTCTTGTTTTTGTTTTTTTATCGAGCTTATGGAGAATATTTATATTTACCCCATATTAAATAATTGGCCGATTCGCATGAGTGTTGCCAGAACTTTGCCAGGGGGGAGGGGGTCAAGAATGCAAAATTGTGAATTATTTAAAACAAATTACAGAAATGTAGGGATTTATAGACGCTATCGTGTAATACGATACGACAGGGAATATAATGAGCTTAGGCGTGGTTGTGAAATTCTGCCGAATTTACCGTTTCGAGAGATAAAAAATATACCGAAGGTCCAGAGCGAAAACCCGATAAGTAATAAAATTTAGTTATGAAGATATTGCCGTTTAAGTATTTTTTTGTTCTTTTAGTTACAAATGAATGCTTTTGATTGTTTGCCTGCGTCACTTTATAGTACATATTACTTATAACGATTAGTTTGCTATGTACTGAAATAAAGACAAATTATCAAATTTTCGCTCTATGGATTAATAAAATGATCTTTACTCATATATCGATTTTTCGGAATACCAGTTAACAATACTTAAATACGAAATTTCACAAAACGGAGTATATTAACAGAAAGAGGACTAAAAACTTTTTGTATCATCAATATATAAAAGTAATTTTTCTATTTTTGCCGACTTATCTAGTATTGGCTGTGAACACTTGATACAATCTATTATTATCAGTTAAGCTTATGCCCCAATAATTGTTTGACAGAAGTTGCTATTGTATAATTTTTTTTTGGGAACTTGGAAATTTCCAGGAGGGCAACTACCCTCTTTGCCCCCCTTCCCCTGCCGGTGTCCATGCTGACTCGGTATAATCTAGTACCTAGGAGAAAACTATCAATATTGTAGACATCTACATTGGCTTGCTGTTATTATTAGATCGAGCATTTTGTTAAACCTTAGGAACATTTCTCTGACCGTGCAAGACCTTTTTAAAAATGTATGTATAGATATTTTGCTTTTTTGTTATTTATTAGAAATCCCATTTTCAAGGTCATGCATGCAAACCTTAAAATAATAATGAATATTATTTTATTTTCGTAATTAATTTTGCGTCACCTTCAGTTATAACTTATCCGCACTTATAATATCCCGCATGCATATTTGTATTGTACATTTTTCTTTTAGTTTCTTTGTATAAAGATTTTTAAAGATAAAATGAAATTAAATCGCCATGATTTTCTCCGTAAAGCAGTAAAAAGGAAATTATTTAAATATTTGCATGATAGGTATAAGGTTGCAAATTCGATATTATCAATGTATTTCTTAGTTACCTATTTCCTTAGATTTGCAATACTTTTGTTTTAATTTCGTAATGCAAAATTGACTACAGACAGTTACAATCATTTACACTAATCTTACTTATAGGAAGTTATTTAAATTGCTCTGTAAAAATTGCAATACTTTTCAAATTTTTTTGCGACTGCATAAAGTTCGAGTTGTTGATGTTTGTTAATTTTTCAAAGTTGCGGACCTTGTCGGAGGTTGCAAATTTGCCAGATTGTTGAGAACAATAATATTAACATTTGCATCCAATTTTCAAAACTTTTACATTTTTTTTTTGACAAAATTAGAGAACAATAAAGAATTATTTTGCTATTTTCTGAAAAAAAATATATTTCCGTGCAAAATAAAAGGTTGCAAATTGGAACAAGTATTTGGAAATACTTGTTTGATTTATGTCATCGGTTTTGCGGCACTTTTGCAATTTTTTATCTATGATATAAACAAAAATGCTATTTTACAAAAACATATTCCGGACTTTCAGTAAAGTTGCAAATCTGAAATAATATTGAAAATAATACAATATACAGGGTGGCGCATCCTATACGCGTCGGTCTCTGTAGGGAAAACGACTTAAAATTTGAATTTTTTTTCTTAATAGGGGTATATAGGGCCATTAACACTACAAATTAAAAATAATTTGGTTTATACAGGGTGACCCAAAAATAGAAATTTATATCAAAGTTATGTTTTTTTAAAGGGAACACCCTATATTTGATGGTGTCTTTTGATTCCCCGGAAAAAATTAAGTAAAGTTTCTGTAATGCTTCCTATACCTATCTCTTTTCGTTTTTCAAACATTTAAAGGATTTTTAATTTGTAATCTTATATGGAATGAAAGATAATTTAAATGTCTATCAGTTTAAGTTATTAAATACAGGGTGTGCCATTTAAAATAAGAATATTATTGAACTCCATGTCTAAGTTGAATTCAATTAGACTAAATGAACACACTGTATGATGTAATGGAAAAACTTGCATTTTATTCGATAGTCAAATATCTTGGCTACGCATATCGCAGGTGACTGTTGATGTGTTTTAAATAACCGCGACATACTAGTTTATGATGTTCAAGCTTACAAATTAGGAATCCTTTAAATGTTTCAAAAACGAAAAAAGATAGGTATAGGAAACATTACAGAAACTTTAATTTTTCCGGGGAATCAAAAGACACCATTAAATATAAAAACATAACTTTGATGTAAATTCTTATTTTTGGGTCACCCTGTATAATCCAAATTATTTTTAATTTGTAGTTTTAATAGCCCTGTATATCCCTATTAAGAAAAAAAAATCAAATTTTAAGTCGTTTTCCCTACAGAGACCGACGCGTATAGGATGCGCTACCCTGTATAATGCTTCAAGTTTTTTTTTAGAAAGTTATAATTAATTTTAATTTTTCGCAAAATTATTAATATATTCCGGACCTCAGAAAAAGTTGCAAAATTATATTTATAATTAATTCAATTCAATAAATATTGCAACAGTTTGAAAACTTTTATAATTAATGTGAATTATCTTTGATGACTGGCCTATTACTGTACTGAAATTCTTTAGACTGCAATTCGGCATGTTTTTGTTACCTGAAGTTGAACCTTTTATTTTTTTTACTCAAGGAAATGCGAAAACAACTTTATAAAAATGTTTTATTTGAAATTCTCTTCAACTGAGATATCGCTTTTTGGTTTAGGTATAGCTAATAAAAAAAAAAACTTACCAAAAATATGAACTGGAATATATAAAAAAAAAATTTCGTCAATCTTAGTCCACAGCATTTTGATGCCATTTCGTAGATCGTAGACCCATAAAACTCAACTTACGTTATATTGCATCGGTACTGAAAAAAAAAAAAAAACAACCAAAAATAAATTTTAATAGATTCATATAAACAAAACTTTTTATTTTTAGCAAAATGCATGATAAATTATGAATCTTTATATACTACATATTTTGGCAAACTGTATTCTAGAATATTGCTCAATATGTTATTTGGACGCTGCGTTTTATAGAATATTTCGATATTAACTTCAGTTTAATTTTAGCAATGTCCATTTTTTATCATTTTATTCAAAAACACAATATTTTGTAGACCGATTTTCTGTTAAACGCTAGGACAAGAGTATAAGAATTCATTTTTCTACCCCAACATATATTTTTTTCAATATTAAATATCTTATTAATTTTTTTGAAGTAAATCAAAACGGTATCGCTTTCAAATTAAATTAAAAAAATGTATATTTTTGAATGAGAATTCACACTTTTTCGTTAAAAAAAAATAATGCAGAAGCAACAACTGAGGGTAGATACTTAAATACTAAATATAACATAAAACAATGAAATATTAAGGTTTTTGATTGTATTAGATGATTTTGATTTAGAATGTAAGTCTGTTTTTCTAAAAGGTTATTTCGTGTATGTATTTCTGCAAAAAATTTATCAGTGTTCGGTTTTCTTAGATATAATATTATTAAAATATATTCTTTTGTATGAGTTTTATAATATATACAAAGAATTTGATACGTTAATCTACCATAGTAAAAATAAAAATTAACTGATGTATATTGACGGTTTCTCTATATGTATAACATTAATGTCAGCTGAATTTTTGTTTTTTTACTTAATTCAATGCTCACTATAGTATAGTAATATGACAACCACTACTTTAAAATTAATTCACTCAACTTGTCGAGATTAGATTTGCGTACCTAATATTTAAAGTAGGATAAAACATGAGTACCAATTTAATCAATTTTGTTTTGTTAGCAAATTATTAGATAACTAAATATTATATATCGTCTATTTTTAAATACAAATTAAATATTATCAATAATTTTACAAATATTGCTTTGCGGAAAATCAGATAACAAATGAACAATAATTTTACTCTGGTGATTTTACACTACAATTATTGTATTCTTCATCAGGGGTACAGAAACTCATAAAAACACTAATTTTACAGAGCAAAGCAAAAAAGAATGGAGAATAATAATTTTGACCTAAACTTAATCATGGGCATGGACAAATACAGGGGGCGGGGGCAGGTAAGGACAGATGCTTTTAAATGGGTAGAGGCGATCAAGTGAAATGTAATTGAATCAGTGAGTCAAAGAACAGTACTAGTCCAAAAAATGACGTTTTGAGTTAAGATAGCCAAATTGATATTAACATATTGTGTATCCACTCATTGAGATCAAAAACAGTGCAATACACACAATAGGTTCGGCAGTATAAATTACGTTGAAACTGGATTAGTGGAAGAACAGTACAAGTCCAGGACATGCACTGTTTTTACACTCATTACTGTTACTTTGAAGTTGATGTTTTGAATATTATTTTATTAGTTTCGAAAATCGCTCTGTGAGAGTTGATTCTGTTAATTTTCTCTTCAAAATAGTAGCAACAACACGTTTTAAAAAAATCTTCCAATATTTTCCGAACAGAAACCACTCATTCTTGCCCTGTGATAGGGATTTTAGAGTCCTAAAAAGATGCGTTAGAAGATGCGATCGTGTATATATTCCAGAGAAATATGAGGAAATGATATTGTCATTTCGACAAATTAAATCATTTACTAATAAAAAAATTACCTGCGGAGATATTTTAGATTTTAAAAATTAGTGACCTCAGTTTTTCAAAAAAAAAATTACAACTGCTGTAGGAAGCAATGAAGAGTTTTCTCTGTCAAATTATAGGCAGTTTGTATATGACACCAGTGGATATGTGAAAACTTATGAATATATAGGAGGTCTAGTATCTCATAGCTTTAAACTAATGAAGCAAAATAAAAATTGTCCACCCCTTCCTACCAATTGCGCATACGAACAACAAATTCCAATAAATGTAAATAAAATAAATGCAGTAAAAAAGGTAATGCAATATATTACAGGAGAATTGCTGGAATTTTACTATCACACGTCACCTCATGGCCCACATATGCAACCCATGAAACCGAAGATGTGGATGCTGAGTGGTGGTGGGGGGCACCCCGGACCCCTCCCCCCAGCTACGTGCATGTGTTTTGCAATAATATGTTATAATAGTTTATTTGTCAACCTTGCATTATTTATAAAATAGAGGCTAATAAAAATAAAATATAAACTATATAATTGACTTAAAAAACAGTACATGTCCACAATATATTTTTTTAAATATTTCAGATACAAACCCTTTTTAATAGTTGAAACATAATCTCTTACACTCATCTTAAATAGCTTTACATTTGATATGTACATATCAAATTTATATGTCAAATAACAAAATAGTTATTTTTTTTTTAATTTACTCAGAATGCCATTTTTGGACTAGTACTGTTTTTTGACTCACCGATTCAATTTAATGGAGAATTCAACAATTCAGCGTTGGAGGGTAGATGCCAGATGCCTCCCCTAGATTTTTCAATGTAGTTTAAAAAATATCTTAATTGGAAAAACACAAAAAGCTACGCCAATTATTTTCGATTCAATGTACTAGAGAAAATTAGTAGTAAAACAATAAATCAAAATCTCGAAGCTAAAAACAACAGAATTATGTAATAACTAAGTTCCCAGTCAATTGTCACAACGTTATTCTTAGTTTAGTCCAATTCAGAGTCAATTTGAAATTTTCCCACCCCTAATATCTTACTACGATCTGAAAAATCGGAAAGCCACGTCAATTGTATTTTCAATAGGGACACTTTCAATGGATATTTTTAGCTCTCATGGTTCAACATTCAAGAAGGGGTAGGTAGATGTTAACCATAAAATTTTAAATGGGTAGGGGTCAAGTGACATATCATTTGAAAGGTAATCAATTTTATGGAGAATTCAGCAATATAACACTATTAATTGCGTTGATATTGGTGCCCTCTAGCGGGAAAAATTAGAGGGCGTTAAAATAAAGCAATTAATTTGAAATTAATACCCAGTATATTGATTGTGTTTCACTTATTATTATTGTACCTTTGGACTTTAGAAATAAATGTTCGTATTTTTTTTAAATGGTTTCCTTTTATTTCAAATTCAAACAATTATTCCAATATTGGTAATAGGTACTTAGGATAGCGGCCGGTAGTTATAATATGTAATTAAGGCTGCGAGCAGCTTAGTACTTGCATAAGTATCTTAAGTCGGCGTATCTATAAAGCCCAAACGAACTGCTGGCGTAGTTGCATACCACAGCTAGCAAGCGATATATCAATGAGTACGAGGTACAGCGTGGGGTGTGCCATCTTTCGGAGGAGAAGTAAAGTCGTGTCGGTCTCGAGTCCATAAATGTTAGGCTCGTTAAAGATCCCTACATCTGGTTGGAACACCAGGGGATTCGGCTAAATTTATATTTGGGGGTAGCATGATCTCCAGCGTGCGCCCATGATGTTAATCTCGAATCTATTTTATTTTTTGGAAGAGTAATAAGAAAACTAGTGGAAAATAAGAGAATAACTATATTCATGACCTGCTCAAAATATACAACGTTATAGAGCACCTATTCAAATTATTCGACCTGATCAGCACGGCGTTTCAATATCTGCAGTTATAAGTCGTGCCGACTACACTTATTAGTACTTAGAAAGATGACCACTGTGTGAGAGAAGATACAGTAGGTCCCGACTAAAGAGATGTAGGCTCGTCATAAAGATCCCTACCTCTACAATAAAATTTATAATTTATTAAAAAAATATTTTTTTATTTATTTGAATCAATTAGATAGGCCAAATAAATGTATATGTCTATTTTTAAGGTTCATATTTTATTCTTTCAGATCAAGAATATTGGCAATCGTTAAATCGACAGTAGCTGATTTAACAATAATAAAATAATTGGAAAGCGCATCTCTGAAGGTGCATATATATTGAGCATTTGGGTTGACTGAGCAAGACGAGCGCGAATGAGCATTCAGAACGACTGAGCATCGTGCGGCGAACAGGCTCAGCCCGATCCAGATCTTGTCGGTACATCAAAGTGAGCGCGTGTGGCGAATGCGCTCAAATCTGCTCAGTGTGGACGGCGACGTTAGCGGAATATACGTGAATTCGATGGACAAGATGATGGATCTCACCCGAGAACAGTGTTTAGAAATAATTACCATTGTTCTGTTCAGATGTGTACACGATGCCGCATCCGAATGCTCATTCGGCCCGAATGATCAGATGTATATGTACCTTTACGTATCTCTTTTTAAATTTAGTCATCCGATACTGATGCGTTATATAGGGTGATTCCAAACGATGCTGACCTTTAAAAATGAAAAAATCCTGGATTTTCAAGAGTTGCGTGTTCTTCGTTTTTTTAAAAAGGGCACAAGTAGGTAAGTACCCAAGTGATTTTTTAATGTATTATTTTTTTCAGTGTAGGACCTATCGCATCTTTTCTACATTCTTATAATCACAATTAATTTCTAAGCAGAAAGATACGTTCTTTTTTTCGCTAGAAGGTGCACTTTTTGAGAAAAAAAAACAGATTGTCTTATTTAAAAAAATCATTAACTAAAATAGCTATTTATGCAACCAGTTACGAAATGCCTAATTTTATGTAACGAGTGAATATTTGCGGGACGAGCAGAGCGGGGTCTCGCAATATGAATGACATTTCACCGCTTTAATTTTTCAGAATTTCTTGACCAACGATCGCGCGCCTTTAAACGCGTCTCAGTTATAAACAATTCGCGTTAAAAAATACACTCTTTGGGAAAAATGAACTATATTAAATTTCTGTTCGATTGTGCTAAAGCATTTTCTTCTAATCCGTTTTCAAGGGAAATTGTAAGTTTAACAAAATAGGGGTAATTTTTAATGAAATTTACAAACAT